TCGCACCCTGACTACTTGTCGGGGCGACGTGCGGGCCGCGGAAACGAGTCGGCGTCCCAAGGCCTCCCTGGCCATAACCCTTGGCAGCTACGGCTCCTTCGTCTATCACACAGGGCCAATGGTCCTTACAGATATGGGGAAATGATGAAAGGAGAAAATGGACGTGCGCTACACAAAAGCGAGTCACCATGGACAGCGCTGGCTACCAACCGGCTACCTGGGGCCAGTTCTGATTTAGGGCGAGTAGTCTAATTTTTCTTAAATTTGGGTACCTCCTGACAAGATTCAAATTCCTAAACCCAGAAGCTAGTATCATTCCTCCTAACCTTGGCCGGGAACTGAGAGCGGCCCCCGCCCTCACACCGGGGTCCCCACCTCTCCCTCCCCCAGCTACTCCCACCGTCCTCCCGGCTGCCGCTGCCCTTCCCTCCCACTCAACTCCACGCTCTTCCCAGCTTCCTCGCCAAGCTTCTCTCGGTCTTGTTTCCCAGTTCTTTCCTGGCCTTCAGACTACTCAGCTGCCAGCCAGACCGCGGCCCCTCCCTCTCTACTCCTGGCCTCCTCCGCGGAAAAGCGAGGCAAGGGCTATGCCTGGCCGCTGGACGCCACTTACTACTCCACGCTCCAGCCAGGGTTTGGCCTCCCCTCGGCAAGTGACTTTAAGGACGTCCCAGAAATCGAGGGCGCTTCAGAGGACCCATAAACATTTAACTGAAATTTAGTTTTTTTTTTTTGGTATCAGCGATCAACATCGCCAGACAAGCCCCGCCACTGAGCTACAATCCCAACTGAAATTTTTTAATTCGAAAAGCACTCAAGTGAAACACAAGATCCCCTATATAATATCAAATGTTCACTGTGGCTCCGGAAACTCGCTTTGTGCATTTAAATGACTTGGGAAGGCTGTGGGCCTGCACAGCAGACAGCTCAGCCTCAGGAAGGTGTGTGGGCCTTCTGCACTCATTACTGTGCAAAAGTTTTCATGTTCCTGCGTCCCGTGATGTCATTGGCTTGCTGTGTCATCCTTGTTTTTAAATATAAAAACTTTTGGACCCGCTTGAAGTATGAGATTACAGAACAAAGAAAGCACAGAAATAAACAAGATGCTAAAGTTGATTTTAACCCAAATTGTATTGTTCAAACAGCTTCATTGTTCTTTATATCAAAAAATTGTTATAAACTTGAATTTACATAACAAATTAAAACTAACAAAATAACTAACTTTATATCTGCTTTATATATCTTGGAGTTCAACAACAAAAAATTTGATTTTGGAAGGAGAAAGGGTATATTTCAAAATGTTAAAAAAACACTGCCCTAAGGAACAAAGTTCTTAATGAGGAGAGTCAGCAGACAAACCATTCAGCAGAAGGCTCTGTAAAAATGTTTATTTTACTAATGTTTATAGTACAGGAACTAAAAGGGGGGGAAAAAACCTCCATTCCAAAGCGACAGTGAGTTAGGGCCTGCCCACAGCCAAGGAGGAAGGCCACTCCATGGTGTCCTGGCACAGACTGTCCCCTTCCTACTTAATGTTGGTGACGCTAAGCAGAAAGCCAAGGAATCAGTGTGCAAAGACCTCACCAGCTGCTAGAGTGTGTGCAAGGGAAGTGGACGTTAATGTGGTGACACAGGAGCCAGGATACATGAGGAGACAGAGGTTCCCAATTCAGTTAAGGGCAGGAGGCTGAATGCCCAGGTCCAGGAAGAACAAAAAGGGGATTCTGGAGGTAGGCTTTTTTCGTCGAGTTAAAAAACAGGCACATTATCAAATGGCTCCCTATGGCCCCCAAGCTGCTTGGCTTGGCCCCTTGAAGCATCTCCTCTCCTCACAAAACAAAAGGAACAAGGAGGGAGGCAGAAGATGGGAAGTTCTGAGCGGGGAGGAGTGTTTGGGTTGCTAGAGGCTGCCCATGAGGGAGCACAGGACAGGTGAAGCTGCAACTCCCCTGCGTGGGTTGGGAAGGGCAGAGCCAGGAGAAGTCCTAGCTCAGAGGACTCGGGTGAGCAGGACAGAGGGCACAAAGGGCCACCCTGAGGGAGGCCGCTAGGTGTAGCAGCACGGAGGGCATGGAAAGCTGCTGGCGAGAATGGCCTCAGCCTGCTCACTCTCAGGTGCTCCTGGCAGACAACCAGCCTGGTTTGGCTCTGGCGGAAAAACCCTTGAGACCACAGTGGAGCTAGGCAAACAGGAGTAAGCCTCTCTCCTGCTCTTTCTCAGAGGACAAGGTTTGAACCCTGGGATCACCAGGGGCTGGGCCCAAGGCAAGCAGAGTAAATGCACTTCATGGAGAGCAGAGAGAAGCTGGGCCCACAGGTTCACCTCAGGGCAGCGAGCCGCTCCTTTCTACCTGAGGGCCTGGGGCCAGAAACAGTCAGAGCTCCCACCTCTGCTTATTGCCAAAGGCAGACTGGCACGACCACCCCGAAGATTCTGGACTTGTGAAAGAAAGGAGGAAGGGAAGAGTAGAAAAGAAAAAACAAGGTGAAGGAGAGAGACAGCCTTAGATGTTTCAGGGAGCTAAGGGGTGGCACATCAGGAGGAGTTCTGGTTCTGGTAGATGGAAGCTTTCTCCTTTAACAGGTCCAGACACAGGTGGCAGCTCCAACTTCCTGCAGAGAAGCATAATGAGGTCAGCTTGAACTCCACACAATCCCCATCTGTGGACCCATTCTCTCCCCAACCTTGTTTCCAGCAGGAAGACGGAAGTTCTGCACAGCAGCTTCTTGGCTGTCCTGAGCAGGGAGGAACCTTTTATCTTCAAACGTCATGAAAGATCATTCTCCATGGAGATGAAAGCAACAATCAGCTGAGGGGTGGCTGGAGAGCACAGATGCCCAGGCCCCTCAACCCTGTTACATCAATCTCTGGGCTTCAGGAGGACTTGGGCAGATAGAAGTTTGAAGTGCTCCAGCTTTAGACTTGTGATTACAGAAGAATCACACTTTTTTCAAGGCCCCAAAAGTAGACTAGAAGCCCCAGAGAAGCCAATTCTGATTTGACATAGATGGTGCAGTCAGAGGAAAAGGGGTGAACTTTGATGAACCATATTACCTCAGTCTAATTTCAAAGAAAAACAGGAAATAATTGTCCCTTGTAAAAAAAATAACCAGACTACCAGAGCTTTTATCAGCTCTTCCAGGATATGTGACTTGAAAATGTATGGGAAAGAATGGCGATGTGTCTCAGCAATAGAACACTTGTCTAGCAATTGTAATATTCTGGGTTTAATCCCTCCCACTCCACCACCCCCCCCAAAAAAAAAGGAGGGCCAGGGATTTTTACCTCAGTCCTTCCGCCACCTACCTCACAACCACAAGGTCCTGAGTTTGAGCCCAGGTGGATATGTGACTTGAAAATGTATGGGAAAGAATGGCGATGTGTCTCAGCAATAGAACACTTGTCTAGCAATTGTAATATTCTGGGTTTAATCCCTCCCACTCCACCACCCCCCCCAAAAAAAAAGGAGGGCCAGGGATTTTTACCTCAGTCCTTCCGCCACCTACCTCACAACCACAAGGTCCTGAGTTTGAGCCCAGGTCCCAGAAAGGGGGGGGGCGGAGAGGGAAAAAAGGGTGGGCAAGTTTTTCTGAAAGACTCAGACAAAGTGATAACTATTAAGCTTTGTGAGGTACAGTTTCACTCACATTTTTTGGGGGGGGGGTTGGGGGGCGGATACTGGGGATTGTTATCTCCAGCCTTTGAGACAGGGTCATACTCAAATTGCCCAGGCTCAACTCGAACTTGCAATCCCTTCTCAGCCTCCCAGAGTGCTGGGATTACAGGTGTGTGTCTTTAAACCCAGCTCTTTCTCTTTAAAAATGTAAAATCCATCCTTGGCTTGTAAGCTATGTAGACTGGCTGCAGCTAGATTTAGCCCACCACCCCCAGTTTGCAGACCTGACACAGAGCCTAAGACCATCTGGTGTGACACTCAGGCCTGCAGCTCTCCACTTGGTATCTCTTGGTATCCAACAGAACTGAAAGGCCTTCTGCAGTTAGTCTAGATTTTATCTGTAAGCTGATTATTTGATGATTACCCAAGTTCTTCCCAAAGCCAATTTATAAACTGGGCATGGTAGTAGCTGAGTCTCCCTTGCAACTGCTAGACTTTCAGACCTTGTTAGAAGCCTCATCCTCCAAAGGGTGACGGGAATGTGACCTATATTACAAGCTGGCTTTCGGCATACAGTAACACACACAGCACACACACTTCTCTCACCTGGAATGCTGGCCCACATCCTCTAGAATAGCTCCAATACATTTTTTACCTTTTTAGTAAGGTCCTGGATCTCTTTCTTTTTTTTTTTAAGACAAAGTTTCACAATGTAACCCAGGCTGGCTTCAAATTCACAGCAACCCTCCAGCCTCAGCCTCAGGAGTGCTAGGATTACAGGTGTGCACCACCAAACTTGGCTAGTCTTGGATTTCTATACAGGAAGGGCTTAGGCACAGAAATCCAGCTAAAGGGGGGCTGGTGGAGAAACAGCCACTTCTTGCTGTCACCAGTGGTCCTGGAGCATTATTAAACTAGCGGAGAGACAGAGACCCACGCAGGCTCCAGTGTCAATAACACTCAAATGTCTTAAGTCTGGAGAGCTAAGAAACTGGGTGAAGGAAGACAAATCTCTCTGGGTGACTGTTCTCTGCTCACCATCTTTTCTCATGGGCTATTGGTTTTCTGTTCATCAATGTAACTGATGATAATGTGCAAAATGTTAATCCCCTTAGGCTGAGATGCTAGGAAAGCATCCTGAAATGACTCAAGGCAAGGTACCTTACTCCTTCATTTGGAGAATAAACAGCTGATAATATGGAGATTATAAAACTCAGTACTTACTATACAGGTGATTTTCTAAGTTACTAACGAAATAATTGTTACGTATAAAAGATCTTGCCCACTTACCTTCAGGGGGCTCAGACATAGATGGGGTGAGACAGTACATGTGGTAGCCACGGTCACAGTCATCACAGAAGAGCAGCTGGTCCTAAAGAAGGTAAGCAAGTGGAAGGGGGTTCAATGACTTATGTGCTGCAGTTAGGCCACCAGGTAGGACAGGAAAAGGGATTTAGGAACTGCTGCTACTAAGAGGAAGAGGTGGCAAGAAGATTCTAGAATCTCTGGGCAGGAAACAACTGTTGTATACCTCTACCCTAAACCAAGGCATGGTCATCCTTTCACCTGAATCCAGCCGGAGCCCCAGACTGATCACATGGCCTCTACTCATTCTACAATCCCTTCTCCACAGAGCAGCCAGTGGTTTCTTTAAAATATAATATGGGAATGATGGCACATGCCTGTAACCGCAGCCACTAGGGAGACTGAGGCAGGAGATGCGCAAATTCAAGGGCAGCCTGGGCAATTTGGTGAGACCTATTTCAAAGTAAAATAAAAAAGACAGTGGTAGAGCATTTGCCTAGAACACTGGTGACAAACCTAGAGTACAGTGGCCAGCGTGGTAAAGCACTGCCTGTACTCCCAGCACTCAGGAGGCTGAGGCAGGAGGATCACCTGGAGTTCAAGGCCAGCCTGGGCTATACAGTGAGTTCAAAACTAGCCTGATCTATATAGTGAGACCCTGTCTGAAAAATCAACAAAACAAAACAAACCAACAGCGTGCGTGCTGCTGTGGGCTGTTTATATAATTGAAAGCTCTATAAGGTCTGCCATCACTGGCCTGGAGTGTTCAAGGTTCTGTGTTTGATCTCCAGCACTACAAAATAAAATAAAATAAAATAAGAAGTAAAAATAAATAAAAAGTAAGACCGAACACATCACTCCCTTGCTTAAGGGCCTCCAGTAGTAAGAACCCAAGGCTTGGGTGTAGCTCAGTAGTACAGCAGCTGCTTGGCATATCAAAGGTCCCAGGTTCAATTCCCAGGACTCCTCACTCCCTGAAAGAACCCAAAGCCTCACAGATCTGATCTCGCCTACCTCTCTGATCCATGCCCTCCTGTGCTCTTCTGCACATAGGAAGGCTCCAGCCAGCCATAATGGCCTTCTCAATAGATTGGCTTCTTCCTGGAGGCCCCCACCTCGGCTGCCCCTTTCTTGGGAATGCTCTGACTCCAACTGGTACTGGTCCCTTGGTATCATCCAAATTTCCACAACCTAGCCTCCTAAGAAAAGCCATCTCTGACCATAATCTCAATCACATTGCCAGTTCTGTTTTCTTCAATGCACATCATAAGAAGCTCTCATGTCCTTGCTTTCTACTGTCCCTGTAAGAACACATTCCATGACAATAGGGACCTCCTCTGTCTTTAGCATCCTTAGAGCCTAGAACAGTACCTGACCTAAAGCAGGTGGCTACGATACTTTGCCGATAAATTTGACCAAGTTCTGATAGGAATGCTGAAAGGAGAGTGAGGGATCTTGCTCCCTTTTAGGAGAAATCATAGTCTGGTGGGTAAGGTGGGGAGAGCAGCAGCAGCCCAAGAGAGGAAACACTGGGCCACGCACGTCATTCTCGGAGGTACCGCAGAGGTTGCAACACTTGCACTCGATGCACTGCCAGCGGTAGGTCTTCACAGCCGCCATCATCACGGGGGTGAACTGGAGACAGGATGGATGCCCTGTGGGGGGAGGGGGGTGTGAAACTGATGGCCAGAAGTGGGAGAGGAGTGAAGAGAGCTGCTTGCTTGACAGCGCTGGAGTCAGCAGGTCAAGAACCCCAGGACAGGGTGCGGTGGAAGCCCTCTCCCTGAGGGTGGAGGTACCTGAGCGGCCACAGTCCGAACAGGACACTAGCTCCTCAGGTTGTCCTGTCTTTTTGTTGATCTTTGAGTCACCCAGGCAGAAGTCACAGTAGTTGTTAGGCAGAGCCAATCCATCAGGACCTTTTTTGGCTAAAAAGTGAGAAGAGCGTTTTGCTGATGCTGGGGGGAGGGGCAGGCCACCCAACATCCCTGCAGAGAGGGGCTTTCATATCCAGGCTGCTTCCTCTGTCACGTGCCTACCCTAACACCTCAGCTTACATTTCTGCTCCTCGGACCTCTGGGAAACAGGAGTTGGTGGCTGAGAGTCTTCTTTGTCTTCACCCTCCTCCTCAGCTAGGTGGGAGTGGGCATAATGGTAGCTGAGGCCGGGTCGGTTCTTGTAACGTTTCCCACAAACTGAGTGAAAGGAAGATTGCAGAGGAAGGTGTTAGGATGTGAGGATGGCCCAGCCTACCCCTGAAAGCTAGGGGGCACCTCCTGAGGCACAGGTAACCCACTCTACCCTGAGATCTGTTCTGGGACAAGTCTTAGTGATGACCCCTCCCCTCAGCCAAGGAGCATCAGGCCCTGGGACTCTGCAGAGCTCTCCTCCCCCCATGGCCATCACCCCCAGGGCATGTTGGCTTTTGTGCAGGAGCCCACTGCAACATAACTTGCCCTGGGGACAATTACAGACGATCTACAGAGCTCTAGGTCAAAAAGGGAAAGAAAGGGAAAGGGGATGAAAGAGATTTCAACTTGCTCCCTGGTAAATGTGGGAGGCTCATGGTACCCCTTATATACCATGCAGCCCATCCCTGCAGAATGGACAAAGGACTGGGGCTGTATTTCCTGGGGATAACTGAGCCAGATGGGGAAGGCTGCCCCACAAGAATTCAAATACACTACCACATCAATACTCTTCCCAGCCCAACCAGTAAGAAAGCATAGCCCCACAAGCATCTTGTCATCTTGAACAGTGACACCAAGAAAGGCAAGGGGGCCAGCAGGAAGGAATAAGGGGAGGAAGGGGAGGTGAGGGATAGTGGGCACATGAGCTGACCACCGAGTGCCTGTTTGGGAAAGGTGGGAGCAGATGGATCTGTTACTGTTTCTGGAGCCACCCATATGCTAGGCCGGCAACCCTAGTCCGGGTCTTGGGGAGACAAGCAGTGGTAAGGAGTAGAGTAAACCACAGTTCCATGGCTCTAACCCCCACGCCATTTCAGAGATTCAAAACTAGCATCATAGGAGATGAAAAAGGCAGGAAGAACAAGGGAGGGAGAGAGGGACAGGAAAACCAAAAGTCTGAAAAGTGGAGAGCGCTACCTCTCTGGGGTGCTTTCGAGGTATGCTTTTGTTTGAAACTATCTGAAAGACAGAAAGAAAAGTCATGAGAAGAAGGCCTTGATACACTTGAGGCAGGGGCAGCGGCAGCAGCAGGAGAGCGAAACAAGCAAGAGAGAACCCCAGCAGCGCTGGCACTCCAGGGCGGAAGCACACAAATAAGGCAAGCCAAAGCAGAGGAAAAGAGAACAGACAATGAAAACCTCAGGGCCGACCCCCTGTGCCCGGTCTGATGGGCCAGTAGACCTGGATGCTGCCCATGGAGAGGCCAAGCCTGCCTGCTGGGAGCCCCCCACTCCCCCACCCCAGGGCACAGCAGATATATCTTTCCCAGAGCATGCAAGTCCCACCTGCTGTGGATCTGAGGCCTGGGCTTCCCGTGCATCTTCGGAGGAGACAGTCCACAGGCAGGATAGAGCCCGGGCTTGCTTTACCACTCGGGGCATGAACACCACCCTCCCTCCTCTCATCCGGAGCAGAAGCTGGGTTCAAGGCAAGGACTACCCACCCACTTGTGAGGAACTCACTGTCACAGGCATAAGGCTTGTCCCGGTCCTCCAGGATGGAAGCATCCAGCTTCTTCCGGGCACTGCCCACACCCTTACCCTGCCAACAAGAGCAAAAGAATGCCCTTACTAAGGTGACAGGGCTGAAGGGATTCAACTCCTGGGAGCGACTGCTGATCTCACTTGAGAGGGAGAAAGGCAATCACAAGACATAAAAGACAAGACTCCCTGTCACCCCCCGCAGTCGGCACACTGGCCTCTCACCTTGGATTTCCCCTTGCCTCGACGCTTGGGAGTGTCTTCTTCGTAATCCTCATCATCGAGATCATCCAAGAAGTCATCTGGTTCTAAAATCCGCTGAGTGGACAGGAGGGTAAGAATGAACACAGCGTGCATCCAAAAGCTCCCTCACAACAGCTCTGGCCAAGGCTACCCACAACCTACCATGACCCTGCAACATCCACACCAGCCTCAATCCTTATCCTACAACCCCACTCTAGCTCCTTTCAATGCTTTCCTTCTTGTGTCCCTTCATGCTGTTCCCTTAGAGTACAATGCCTTTCATAGCGTCACTGCGTGGCCAAACCAAGTGCTGCGCTTCCATAAAGCTTCCCACAGCCCAAGCAGCCACCCCTGCCTCATCCTGCACATCCTTCCTCATCAGCCACTCCAGGAGAACCCTGTATCAATGGTTCCTTTCTGACATTTACAGTCTATGCTAAATGACAGCTTTGTTGCTTATGTGTGTGACTTTGTGGGAAGTTGTTGGGTATTTTGTTTTTTTGTTTTTTGGTGGTGGTGGGGCAGTCCTAGGGAATAGAACACAAGACCTCTGCACTGAGCTACATCCCCAGCCTTTTATTTTTTATTTTGAGGTTGGGTCTCATCGAGTGACTAAATTGCCCAGGCTGGGCTCAAATTTGTAATCCTGCTGCAGAGTCTTCCACAGTGCTAGAAAGGTGTGTGCCACTGCCACCAAGCCAAACTCCTTGCACTTCAGCCTCCCCGTCTGGGAACTGAGGACCACAGGACACACCCCTAAGGCTGCTCAGGTGAAGGAGGAAGCGCACTTAGCACAGTGCTTGCTATATCCTTAGCTCTTATTTTACATTTAGTGTTAAGCTTCCTGTTGGTGGGAACCAGGTCTGCTTCATCTATGTAACCACAGGCACCGAAACACTTGTGTAAAAGACGATGAGTGAGAGGAAGTACTTAGAAGACAAAGACTGGGTGGCAGCAGAGAAGCTGGTCAGTACAGGGACAAACTCAAAGCTGCAGTGCTGCCTCAGCGTCTCCTTCAGTTGTTGTCATGATGATTATTACTGGTAGTGCTGGGGACTGAATCCAGGGCCTCACGAATGTTCTGCAAATGCCCTACCACTGATGTGCTGCAGTTCTGCTAATTGGTAGCCTCCCACAAGGAGGCTGTTCTCCATCAAAACTCCCCTAACCATAGGGATAACCTTGTACCTTCCGTGCTCGACTGTTGGTCACAGGAAACTCGCCCAGGCTATCATCATCAACGCGGGGGTCTGGGGCGCCTCGTTTTTCCAAGGGGTCAGTGCGCAACAGAGCTTCTAAACTGCTGCCATCCTGCGAGATGAGTCCCTCCTTCTTCAGGGTCTGGTCTGTGTCTGAAATACAGTCAAGACAAAGCAAGGTTCAGAAGGGCTGAAGCTCTGAGGCTATGGTGCCAGAATTGACCAAGGTTGGCCACTGTCTGCTGTTGTCTGACTGCCCAGGCACCAAGATACACTGGTTCACTTGGCACCGTAACTTAGCTGTTTACCTGTCTCTCTGACTAGACTGAGTTCTTGGAAGGAAAGAATCGTACCTAATTCATTTTACTATCTGCAGGATCTAGCACAGGTCTGGTAATAACAGGCAATTAGGTGGCCATGGCCCTGTACAGGGAAGGTGTCCCTTACCTGGTTTGATAGATGGGAAGGAGAGCCGTGGATCCTCAGGTGGGTGGGCACGCCGCTTTTTCCGCCAGCGCCGGGCAGGGTAGGAATACAGCTGGCCAGAGGCCAATCCTAAGGAAAAAAAGAGAAGCTCTAGACAATAATGCCACTTTCTACCTGAGTTTGTTCCCTTTGAGATCTACAGCAAGGGAGAGATACTGACAGTGACAGCCTGGAGGCTGGGCAGAATAGTTTATGGAAAAGAAAAGCAGATATAGGCTGAGGGGCCTTGGCTAATATACAGCTCCCCAGAAGCCAAATAACAGCCTCAGCAACATGGAAAACAAAGGTGCTGATGTGAACCTGACATCTACAGATGCAGTGCATAGAGGAGTCCTCTCAACCACCTCATCCCCCTCGTGCTCCTGAGTCTCCTCCCCACAGTTTGCCCTCTCACCTGGACCCCGGTGTCGCTTTTCCATCCAGATGTAACAGTTGCTCTGGGCCACTCCAGTCTGGGAGTCCAAGAAAGGCAGGCGCACACTGCGCTCAGCGCAGAGGCGGGCGTTGTAATTGTGGCACTGCTCCATGGCATCTTTGTAGTACTGCTCCCCAAGGCTGCAGGGAAGGTTAAAAAGTAGGGGCTTGGGGTGCTAAGCCATCCCTCTCTCCCCAGCCAGCTGCTGCTCTAGACATCTCAGGAGACTGGGAACCTGTTTCTATGGTTCTATTAGCCTCTACTGCTGCCTCATGGGACACCAAGCTCCTTCACTATCTTGTCACAAGGAAAGTGATTTTACAAAGAAATTACTGACCCAAATTCGAGCACTGCCAGGGCAACTTAATAAAATCTTGTCTCAAAATTAAGGGGGAAAACAAAAAGGCCTGGGGATATAGCTCTGTATGAGGGCCTTGGGTTTAATCCACAACACAACAGCAACAATTTTTTTTTCACTAATAAATTATGAACAGGAACACATGATTTCACCACATGTCTAATGTGTCTCATCAGATTTATGTCTTAACCCCCAAGCTCAGGGGGTGAAGCTCAGTGGTATAGTTCTTGTCTAGTATGCAGAAGGCCTTGGGTCTAAGCCCCACCACTATAAAAAAAGAAAATAGAAGAGAAGAAGAAATGAATGTTCACTCCATACTTTTCATGTATCCAGCCCCATCTGCTAGTTAAGATATTAGTCCTTACAACTCTGAGCAGCAGTTAGCCCTTCTGACAAACAGGGAAGAGTTCCCCAAGGTCTAGGGAACTTATCAAAATGTTTTTAGCAAATTACATGATACATTCAATAAAACTGCTATTTAGCCAGTTCTTTTTTTTTTTTTAAAAGGAACCTATTCATTTACTGACATCAACAATTTCAAAGACAACTAGGAGAAAATAGCAAAGGACTACTAAGAAGTGCCACAGGATACTAACATTTGTGTAACCAAGAGATTTAAGAACTTGCAGGCAACCGGGGGTAGTAGTGCACATCTGTAATCCCAGCACTCAGAAGGCTGAGGCAGGAAGATTGCTACAGGTTGAAGCCAGCCCGGACTGCATACTATACTAGTTTCAAGGACATGCTGAATTACACAGCAAGACCTTGTCCCAAAAAACATCGAAAAACCCTGAAGGCCTCCAGGGAAAGCTTTTAGTGATCACCATTACTGACAGAAAACCTGTATGCTCAAAGCCCCACCTCATGATCTTCCCCATTCTCACACAACCAACTTATATAGAAAAGAATCTTCTTGAACTCAGAAAGACACAATTTGAAAGCTGAAACAAGGCTAAATCCTTATGCACTTAAAAAAGCTAGGAAAATGAACAGTAGCAGGAATTATGTGGCTCCCAGAAGCATGTTCAATGACCCAATCTCAAACTTATCCTTCAGGGTTTAATACTTTGATAATGGAGGCTAAGCTAACTGTAATAATTCATATTTATATTTAATTAATCTCCCCGCCCCTCCATCAGTGCTAGGGATTTTTTTGTTTTGTTTTTTATTTTGGTTTTTTGAGACAGGGTCTCACTATGTAGTTGAGACTGACCTGGAACTCACTAGATAGCCCAGGCTGGTCTTGAACTCACAGAGATCCTCCTGCCTCAGCCTCCGGAGTGCTGGGATTATAGGCAAGTGCCACCACACCCGGCATGTTTTTTTTTGAGACAGGGTCTCTTTGCAGTTCAGGCTGACCCAGGCTGGTCTCAAATTTGAGATCCTCCTGCCTCAGCCTCCCAAATGTTGGGATTATAAGCATGTGCCCTGGCTCAATCAATCTTAAAATGAACAAGGGCACAGATGATTTTGGTGTTTTTTGTTGTTGTTGTTGTTGTTTTTTACATAGTATCCTCACTACCCATGAAGCTGTTTATGACCATCAGACTGGCTGCAAGTCACCACAGGCATGTGAACATTTAATTAACCTATGTGGACCTCAGTTTTTATTCTATAGATTGGAGAGATTGGACTAAGTGACCTGTAATATATAAGGATTCTGAGAGAAAAAGCCTGGCATGAGACCTGGACAGAATTAAGTATTTGTGGCTCAGGTCCATGATTTGAGTTACACCAACAAACCCTGCTCTCAAATCTGAGGAAGCTGTCACTGAGTAGCCACAACAGACCACTGCATAGCTTAGCTTAGCATGCCCTCAGCAAATGAAAAAAGACACACACCACACACAGTCAGCAACACCACAAGTACAGCCTGGGTAGAATCAATGAGCTGTAACGACTATAATTTGAGGTAGGCACAAATCTTATGTTGGAGAGCAGAGCAGAGAGCAGACTCACATGTGCTAGCCTTCACGAGGCAGCCACGTCCTCACCATGCAAAAGGAAAATTGGATAATGAAGGCTGAGTGCAGCAGCTCCTTTGTTTCTGCTGATGGGAACTGATACTGACACTGGAAGTCAAACAGAAGGAATTGGCTGGAGGCTGCAAAGTCAGAGCAAGGAGGCTGGACACCCATTTGAGGAATGAACAAGAGAAGTTCTGTCTCAGGCTTTTGTACCTTAGGTGGGATTACGGAAAGTGGGGTAAGCAGCCTTGTGGGTGAGAGGACTGGGAATGAAATATTTAAGTGTGCTGGGGTCAGGATCTGAAAAGACAGCAAGAGAGAATGAGAGTGGGAACTCAGGAACTTAAGGCTGCTACAGCAAGAGATTTCAAGTTAACATTATTCTCTAGGTCTTGTTATCTAACTCAGAAAGTTTCTAAACTCATCGGCACCCAGTTATTTTATACTAGTATCTTGCCCTAGTAAGACCCCCCCCAAAGACTTTCAATCCTGACATCACACTTGGGAGGAACAGAGAATTTACAAATAGGAAAATTCTTCTCCCCAGACCAGATGAAAGCCAGAAAATGAGCTTGTAGTTTTGACCCCAATGTATAATCTCAGCTGTCAAAGATTAGGACACCTTCTAATCAAGAAAAGTGCCAGAAAAGCATCTCTTTCTAGGGTAAGAATGGTACAGGAAGAATACAAGCCCCATCTTAAAGGAAAGTTTTGTGGAGAAATATATTAATCATGGTTCACAGTCCTTTGCAGCTAGAACTGAAAAGGACAAAGCTGGTTTCTCACCAGTAGTGCTCAGGAAACAGTGTCTGGTGACCTTTACAATCTCTATAGTTCTTTTTGTTTTTTTAAAGATAAATGGGAACAGGGGCCGGAATTTAGCTCAGTGGTGCCGCTGCCTGCCTTGTAAGCACAAGGCCCCAAGTTCGATCCCAGGTACGAAAAAAAAAAAAAAAATACAACTGAGAAGTCGTGCTCTACTCAAATGGACAACCTATCACTTGTAACACTACACGAAAGGGTTGGCGACCCATTTTCCTGAAGAAAATCCTTCAACACATAGACCCTCATTACAAATAACTTTTTAAATCTAGGCAAGTCTAATATTCCTTTAGTATAGTAACATTTCCAGGGTAGAAGCTTTGATTCTTCTTCAGCCATCAAGAAACTTGTGTAAAATCTCTCCTTACAATGGGATGGGAGAAGTCAACAAAGAGAAAGGAAGGGAAACAAAGAAAGAACATCTGACTCAGGAAGGATAACTATAAAAATGGTAGATCAACAGCATCATTTCTAAATTGAGGCAAATGTCAGCCTGAAGAGAGAGCTGGGGAAACTAGAGTGGGCAGATCAGAAAGCTAATAGTGTTGGGAGGAGGGGTGGCTGAAAGAGGCAGCAGATTAGAGCAAAAAGCAAGTTTAAAAAAAAAAAAAGCCACAAGAGAAGGCACTTAGCTTAATGGAAGTGGGAAAGTGGTCTAGAAGAAAGCGGCTCCAGGGTGGCGGCTGGGGCGGGGGAAGAGTTTAACCCCAAAAAATGGGGTGGGGGGGCTCTTGGGAAGAGTAAGGCTCAGCCTACGACAAAGAGAAGCTTTAAATCCCTTACAGCTCCCAAGCCTTTATCTTGTCATTCAATCAAAATCCAAAAGCACTGACTGCACAGCTAGACACCTCTAGATCTAGACATTTCTTAATTTTCCTACCCTCACAACAAATCCAAGAGTAGCATCGAAAGAAGCTCGCTCTATTTGCCCACCCGGCATTAACCAAACCATCTGAAAACTCACTGGGGTTCTTCAGGTAAGAAGCAGCCTGGAATACGTAGAAGTCCCCCCAAATCTTTAACTTACAGAAAGCAGCTAACGGGCCAATCTCCATCTTCCCAACATCTATTAACTTTGCTCAAATTCTGACGAGCACACTTGCATCCATAGTACAGAGAACGCCCAGCCAGCGGTTCCTGCAGGCTACGAAGTCGCCCCGAACTTCGGTCCAGCTCCTGGGTTTTGACGGCCCAAAGACCCACTGCCTGGAAGTTCTTGTCCTGCTTGACCGATTCTCCCTAAGAATATTTCTATTCTTGGGTACCTGCTACCAGACTACCCCTTAAATTTCACCGGGCTCTTCAGAACAAAATAGCCTCGCAGTCCTGCCCCGCGGATGCGGCGCAGAGGCAGCGGCTGGTGGCCGGCGGGGGGTGGGGAAGGGAGCTCCCGGGGCCTCGGCCCGGCTTCTCCGGACTGAAGCGTCTCGGGAGCGGAGCCAGGACTGGGAGTCTCTTGCACGCAGCCAGAAACCACGCTCGTGACCCGGAAACCCTAAGCACATCGGCCACTCGGCTCCGCAGGGAGGCTGCCAGTCAGGGGCTTCCGTGTGCCCTACTCAGGGCCTCCACAAGTTTGCAAAGAAACAGAAACACAACGTCTTCTCCCGAGCCTCCTGTTGCCCTCCTAACTAGGAGTCGCTACATAGCCTTCTCGGCACGTCCCTCTCTCCGCCTTGTCTCTCTCCCGCACCACATCCTACTCCCGGGTCCTTTACAAGACCTCCCATCCTAAGAGAAAAAGAAAAGATCACTCACAGCTTCACTACATTCTCCACCACAGCCGCCATCTTCCCTGCTCCTCTCCCTCAGGCCGGGAGGCCCTGAAACCCGCAGAGCGCAGGCGCCAGAACTGCACCAGGGCACCAGGTTCCTCATCGCTATGCGCAGGCGCAACCCAGGGTGTGGCGCACAAGGCCTGTGGTGCACACGGCCTACGAGAGCGAGCAAAGAACGAGCTCCGTCCCTATTCATCGGACGCTTCCGGGCAGGGAAGGAAAAGGGAGAACCTTGAGGATTCGAGCTCGCTTTCCGCTGCTGCAACTCAAGCAGTTCCTCTTCCACGTAGAGGAGCGGGAGGCCACAAGGTCTCACTTGGTGAAGCAGTGAGGAGGCGGAAGGTTGGTGACAGCTGAGTGGCCCGGAAATGGGCTAGGGGAGCGGAAGTTTCCTGCCTAGCGGACCTTTAGTTACGTGGCTAGTCCTTTGCCCTCACTCACAGGTGAGCAGCAGGTGATATATAGCAAAAAAGTAAAAGTAATACCTAGTCCGCTTGTACTCCCAAATTTGTTATGTTTTGCAGTACTGGGGATTGAACCTATGGTCTTCTCACTGAGCTACATCCCCAGACCTTTATTTTTTATTTTGAGCCAGGGTCTCAGTAAGTGGTTAATTTGCCCAAGCTGTCTCGAGTTTGCGATCCTCCTGCCTCAGCCTCCCAGAATGTTGGGGTTACAGGCGTGCACCCTACGCCGTTAACACGCGCACACATTAGAGAAAGTTAATGCCCAGAATAGGGCAGTTCTTTGGCCTGACAGTCGCAATCTGACAGTTATCTTACTTTCCTGCCACTAATCCCAGGCCCCGAACTTCACTGGTAACTAACTCCCTTGACTCCCTGTTTTTCTACTCCATCTAAATTTATTTTCTCCACTCATGTCCCAAAGAGTTTCCCTGATGGGACTTTTTTTTCCCTGTATCATTCATTTCTCCATCGAATCATGATGCAAATTCATATGCAAACATGGCCTAATAGTTCCTTTTAAAAAATCAATAGCTTCTTCTTCAGCCAAAGCCTGCCTTTAGTTGTCACCCTATTTCTTTTCACCCTTTCAAAGAAAAATATTTTTATATTCTCTTTCTGTTGCCTTGTTTTCAGGTCTCTTCCAAATTAATGAGGGTTATGTTCCTACCATTCTACTTGAAGCAGCTGTTACTAAACTCACTGTATCCTCTACTTCAATAGATTTAGAGATCTGTTCACCGTCCTCGTGGTCCAGTTCACTTCTGTGACACCACTGACCCTTCTTGCCCTGCTACACTGGCACCTTTAGCTTCTCTCTCTGATCATCCTCTGTCAAAGTTCTCAGGGTTTGTTTCTTAATGTTTCTCTAATATACCTTATTTCACAATTCCAAGATTAACATTTTAGAATCAGGACCCATCTTACCATCACGATTTTAGTCTTTGGCAAATGAGCCTTGTGAGGTATTTGTTGTTGTTGACCCTGCACCAGCATCAGAACTTGCAGAGTGGGTGTCAGCAACTTGGAAGGAAACACCCAGAGACAGTTCTGGTGCTTTTTGTTTTGTTTTGTTTTCTACCCCTGAGAACCAAAAGATTGTGAGGACAGGGGTATCAAGGTGACTCCCAACCAGAAATAAAAAGTTGTTGGGCGTAGTGTAATCCCAACTACTCAGGAGCCTGAGGTAGGAAGATCACAAGTCCAAGGCCAACCTGGGCAACTTAGCATGACCCTGTCTCAAAATAATTTTTTTTTTTCTCCAGCTAAAATTTGTAAAGGGCTGGGGATTTAGTTCAGTGGTAGAGAGTATGGCATACAAAAGAACCTGGATTTAATCCCCAATACTGAAGGAGAGGAGGTACACTTGTTCTAAAGCTGACATAACACCCAATATCTCACCAAGCCCATTCCTGGATATATAGACCAAAACAAAAGCAAACAAACAAAAACGTGCAAGAATATTCACAGCAACATTATTTGTAATAAGTACAAGCTGGAAATAATCCTCTGGCCGATCTGCAGTAGAATGGAATAAACAGCAGAGTGAGGGCTGGGATGTAACTCATTGGTAAAGCACTAGCTAAGTGTACACAGCATCCACAGCAGAAGCAAAAACAGCCCTCTGAGAACAAACTATTACTATACAACTTGAGTGAATTTTAAGAACTCAATATTGAACAAAAGAAGCTAAATTTGAAAAAAGACATGTTGGCTGCCGTGGTGGTGCACACCTGTAATCCCAGCACTCTAGAGGCTGAGGTAGGAGGATTGCTGTGAGTTCGAGACCAGCCTGGGCTACATAGTGAGTTCAACTACATAGTAAGACCCTGTCTCAAAAAAGAAAAAAAAAAGATATGTTATATGGTTCCTTTTATGTAGTTACATAGATACACACGCCTTTTTAGACATGAGTGCCCAAACTGCAACCCAAAACCCGCTTATTTATCACAGAGTACTAATCCTGGAATTAAACCTAAATACTAAGGTTTTACTTTAGGTGAAACAACTCAAATATTAACATCTTTTGTCTTAAAAACAGGATGGTGACTGAGTTTAAGTAAGGCTCTTTTTCTTCATCTGCTTGGGGTTACATGGATTTATTCCCTTTTTAAAACTGAATTGAGCTATGCAAGATTTGTGCACCTTTCTGTGTGTTTCAGTAAGTTTCTCTTAAAATACTAATTAATAACAAGTAGACTAATTCCATATAATTGGAAAGGCAGCTTATGAGCCCAGTTATTTTAGGACTCAAAATTTTAAGAAGTGCTACATTGCCGAACAATATTTATAGAGTTTTATTTTATTTTATTTGCAGTACCAGGGATGGAACTCAAGACCTTGTGCTTGCAAGGCAGGCACGATACCACTGAGCTAAATCCCTGGCCCTCTATAGGGTCTCTTACAGACAGGAACCAAAGAGTGAAAGTGGGATCGCTACCTCTTACTATCAACTGATGACTTTTTTGGGGGGGTACTGGGGATCGAACTCTGGACCTTATGCTTGTGAGGCAGGCAGCAGAACCATTGAGCTAAATCCCTGGCTCAGCTGTTAACTTTTGCAAAATATTTCCTGTTCCTGCAATTCTGGGTTCTGGCTGATTTAGAGACTTTAGGACTCAAGGAAAAAAAGAAAAAGCATCCACCAGGGGGCACCAAGAACAATTTCTAAAACATGAGCTGAGATTGTAGACCATTTTGTATTCCCAGTGCCACTGGACAAGAAAGTGAAAAAAGAGGGACCCACTGTTGGTTGTGGTGAGTGATTCCAGCTGTCAGGGGAAAACAGGTTTGCTGTCCTCTTCGAGGGCAGGGAGAAATATAAACAAAACCCAGTAAATTCCCTGAGGCGTTTTTAAATGTTATATTCAGGTAGTTAAGGGGCACCAGGCACCTGGTTAGGTATTTGATTCTAGCCCTTTGAAGAGAAATTAAAACAGAGAAGGTCAGGGATTTAGCTCAGTGTCTCCACAGCCTGCCTCAAAAGCACAAGGTCCTAATAAGCTCAATCCCTGGTACCCAAATAAATAAATAATTAAAAAATAATAAAGTGAAAAAATAATTTAAAGCGTTAGAAAGCTAATAATACAGTGAAGAATTGGTGGACCAACATGTAGGAGGCTAAAACCTACAGAATAAATCTAAGATTTAAAGCAGTTTTTGTCCTGGAGATATTTGCTGACCTGGAAAATATAACTGAAATTGAACTGTTGTTTGGCAATCTTTAGAGGGAGGGGTAAAAGTTAAAATCCAGAGCTTACCCAATGTGAGAAGTCATGGACATAACACATACATTGACATACACATACTTTAAGATGGGATTCATTCCATATATTATCTGGGTGGTCCAGAAAAAGTCACCCTTGAACATAGATTAACGTGGACGCATTCTTACAATGCACCCAATCATCTGGCAAAGACAAGCATATTTGGCTCCGTGTAATATGCTTGCCGAAGTATTGTATATCAGTATTGTATATCATCTTGAGCCTTAAACATTTCTAAAACTATTTGTCAGATACAATGTCCAACCCATAATCAGCAGTAATCAGACAAAGAAATATAAACTGGGTTGGGGAATTAGCTCAGTGGTGCTGCCTCATAATCAGAAGGTCCTGAGTTGGATCCCTCATAACAAAAAAACAAAACAACAACAACAACAAAAAAAACCCAAAAAACAAAAAAACATAAACCTTGCAAAGGATCAGTACAATCACTAGAGAATGCAAATGGACCCCCAAAGACTTACGGTATTATAATTATCTGGTACCAACCATAAAATAACACTGACCTTAATTTTAGATAAATTGAACAAAAAAAATCTGTAGGGAATACATAACTATTAAAAAGTGTGACAGCAAATTTTGATAGAACTTTTAGAAATGAAAAATCCAGTAACCAAATTGAACACAATGAACGAAGGGGTTAAAAGCAGATTAGACACAGCTGAAGATAGAACACGTGTACTAAAATATAGAAAGAAATTGCCTTCAGTAGGGGAAAAAAACAACAGAAAATAAAACTTAGAGACTGTGATGCCAGGTAGGGTAGTTAGTGCAAGCCTGTAATACTGGCTACTCGAGAGACTGAGGATTGCAACTTCAAGCCTAGCTTGGACAATTTATCAAGACCATATTGGCTGGGAATTTAGCTCAGTGGGGCTTCCACCTGCCTCACAAGTGCAAGGTCCAGAGTTTGATCCCTGAAAAAAGACGCTGTCTCAAAATTTTAAAAATTTAGGGCTGGGGATTTAGCTCAGTGGTGCCACACCTGTCTGGCAAGCTCGAAAGAGAGAGAGAGAGAGAGAGAAAGAGAGAGAGAGAGAGAGAGGGAGAGAGATGCTAAAGGAAAGTATTTTTAATGTTTTTACCTCAAAGAATGATAAATGTTTGAGAAGATAGATATGCTTACCTTGATTTGATCATTATACGATGAAATACATGTATTGACGCATTTATGGTGCTACATAAATACAATTTTATGTTTCAGTTAAAAAAATAAATTTAATGGGCTAGGGATTTACCTCAGTGGCACTGCGCCTGCTTCACAAGCACAAGGTCCTGAGTTTATCCCAGGTACTGCAAAAAGGGAAAAAAATGAACAGATAAATATAATAAGATAAATGTTAAAGCATGTGATGTGAAATGTCATGACTTTTGGAACTTACTCTCAAAAGGTTAAAAAGGTCAGGAAAAAATTTATATGCAAAGAGGCAAAACGATAATTGGCAAATCAAAATGAATGTATGTGGATAGTTACTATACTGTTACTTCAATATATCTGTAAGCTTGAACTATTTCTAAATAGAGTTTTGGGGAAAAATAAACTATAAATAGAGGATGAGCAACAGCTCAAATTTTTTAAAAATGAAGGTCTAGTTACATGTGTAAAGACCCTAATCAGGTTTAAAGAATACAGAACAAGCCAGGGGTGACGGTAAATGCTTGTACTCCCAGTATTCAGGAGGCTAAGGCAGGAGGGTTTTGAGTTCCAGGCCAGCCTGGATGCATAGCAAATCCCTGTCTCAAGTTCAAAAAAGAATCTGGAACAGCCAAAATACAGGCTAACGTGGGCGGTGAAGGAGGGAAGCTTCTCATACTGCAGCTTTGTTGTAAACCAGGTCACAGCTTCTACATATACTTCATTTGCTGTGTCAACCGTGTTTTTTAAAAATAAATTTGAATTTTCTATTCTCTTTTCCTCCACTTTGTATATGTGATGTATTTGGGTTGTTAGTTTTAAACCATAGTTCAGAATATTGAGATGGGCTGAGAAGGAAATGGCAAGAGGAATGGACACCACTCAGAACTCCTGGACTTGGGAATGGATGTGATAGTTAACAAATACTTTGAGCTGTCTCCCTTTGGAAACATTGAATTTTCCCCCCTGTGGTACGGCTTTACCACTGAGATCTTTTTATTTATTTATTTTTATTTTAAGATGAGGTCTTGCTAAGTTCCCCAGGATGGCCTCAAACTTGCTTTTTGTTTTTGTTTTTGAGAAGTCTCACTATATACTATATTTCTGTGAAAATAGGGCTTAATTGGAAAATTAGCACTAGCATGATTTTTCAGGATGACTGAAATATAAGCCCTACCCCAAAAGTAAAGCCCCAACTAAGATCATTTAGTATGTCTATAGCAACATATGGCAGACATATTGAATTATAAAATAATATTAACATATAATTAAATATAAATACATAATATTAACATTAATATTTAAAATAAACGGTAGTATGAAATTACAATTAGGTATTTATAAATACCCAATGGCCCCTTTGGACCAGTGGTTAATGCCTGTGTAAACAGAACTCCAGACTTAGTGCCGAATGACCAGTTGGACTACAGACAGCACACGGATACTGTGTGCACTTGATAAATGGACTTGGTTGTGTCTAATATGAATCTCTATGAATCAATACGCCATGTGTCATAATGGAGTACTTAATGCACTCATGTCAAATGAAATGTTTCCAGAATTTTGGTGTCTGCCATTTTTCATCACTTTTGTGTGGATCATCCTTAACTGTCATCATCTGTGTGGCCATTCCTGTCTCAGAAGTCTTCAGTTAACACTTGATTTAAAGGAAACTTTGTGAAGCCTCACCTGAAGAGGTGGTGACTTGGGTGAAGAAATCGTGGAATAGCCAGGCCTCCGCTCAGGTCCAGAGTGAGGCGCTGCTCCCTGGCTGGGGGAGGCTCTTGGGAAGGCGTCTTAGGTAGTCTTCCCCTGTCGGCTGCCTGAGCGCGGGGGCTCTGCAGGAGTGAAGGTGCTGTGCTTCACCTACCCACACCCTGGGCCTGCTCAGACTGCATCAGACCCTGCAGCTGAAGCCAGGTGGGGCAGAGGTTTAGGTCAAGAACAGGCTTCGGGGTCCCACAGAGCTGGGGTCTGATCCCACTGCAGATAGTGCAGATAGTGAATTTAAAAATTCAAATGAAAACCAAAATATGTGGTGGGAATATAAAATGGTGCCAGTGCTATGAGAAACAACTGGGTGGTTCTTAGACAAAGTTAAAAATGAACTACTATGTGATTCAGCAGTTCTGCTTGTGGGCATATCCCCAAACTGAAAGCTGAGTCTTGAACAGATATTTATATACCCATGTCCATAGCAGCATCATTCACAGCAGCCGAAAGGTAGAAGCAATCCAGGTGTCAGAGGATAAACAAAATCTGACCTAACTATACAATGGAATATGAATCAGCCTTAAAAGGGGGAAGATTCTGCCACATGCTACAACACAGATGAACCGCAAAGGACTCATGATAATCGAAGTGAGCCAGTCACAAAAAGACAAGTGCTGTGTGATTCTACTTATAAAAGGCACTTAGAGTAGCCAGATTCATAGAGACAGAGTAGAATGGGGGTTGCCAGGAAAAGGGGGAGGAAAATGAGGAGCTAGTGTCTCTTGGGGACAGTTTGTCTGGGGAAACATTCTGGAAATGGGTGGAGGTGACGGCTGCAGAATGATGCAAGTGTACTTAACGCCACTGAAAAGTACACTTACAGTGTAGACCCTTAAAATGGAGCTGGAGACATGACTATGTTGGAGCTTCTGTCAAGCAAGCACAAGGCCCTGGGTTCAGTCCCTAGTACCACAAAACAAAAACTTGGTAGGCCAGGGATGTAGCTCAGTGGTTCAGTGGCCTGCCTTGCAAGCACAAGAACCTGAGTTCAATCCCCGGTACAAAAAAAAAAAAAAAAAAAAAAAACTCAGAAGATTTTAA